AAGAGTGTGTGTTCATAGGCCTAAGAGCTGAATGGTCTTGCTTTGCTGAATCGATCTCCAAATTCTTATGTGGAGTCAAGGAGAAAGTGAAAACTAGCTTTGAGAAGAAGAAAGGAGACTATGACATGGATGGAGAAAGCTGGAGCAGGCTATTATTCAACTACCACAATCACGTATCAAATTTGCTAAAAAAGATTGCCAAGTTTATCTTAATATTTAAACAATTACGCAGAATATTCTAGCTCTGTTTACAGTTTATGATGTTAGCAGATATGCTTGACAGCATCAGACCGTTGCAATTTCAAGTTACTGATTTTACTATGCATTGTATTCTCTGAGCTCTTCCTCTTCCTCCTACCACCACAGCAATTGTCAATGTCAAAGACACATTGCCTTGTGGGATCAATCTATTAGACCAAAACCTCACAATTCTAAACAAAGGTCAGTACGTATTAAACAATCAAAGGAAACACAAAAGAAAAAAACCAAAACACCCTTACCTCAGGCTTTTTCATGATCTGGATACTGAACATATGGTTTTTCATGGGATAGATAACTATAAGAACGTCTCCAAATTCCGTTGGAATTATTCCTCTTCTATAATCTCGAGTATGCTCTGACCATACAATGTGTACTTCGTCATTTCCTAAATGCCTTAGCTGGAAAAGCAGGGGTAAAACCATCAGTTTAAATATATTCTATAGCCATACAGCGATACTGAATGCTTGTATTTCAAAAGGACAAACGCACTAAAAAGAAACGAAGAAAAATGAATAAAATAACCAAATTACACTATAGTTCTCTTACAATTTCAGTGACGGTATTAGTTCACAGTATTGGTTTGTGCTATAGATTTTTATATATTGGTGCCAATGTCTATTTAAGTTAACAGATATGTCAATATCTGTTTTCTACTGAAAGCTAAAATTTTGTTGATATGATCTCAAGAAGGCAGAGTGATTCAATCTGATTTACTAAAATGCTTTCAAGATTGCCATCACTGACAGGCAGAGAATTACTAAATTCTATATGAACTTTTAAAGTATATGAATGAAGATCTGTTTAAAAGCTACATATCTGTGCAGTCTTTAACCTCATCATTCTAGCCAAATTCCAAACTGGCTACTACAAACAAAAAGCTTTTAAAGGAGAATAGCTACTGCATTTACCATAGGCCCTACATTAACTAAACTAAATGCTCACTTTCCCATGAAACCTGTATATGTTTTTTACCTTTGTAAAAATTACACCCTGTCCCTAAAATGGCTCTTGATTTGGCTCGAAATGGCCAAATAGGTTCCTCAAAATCCATGCTGTATCCTCAGCTGTAATCATATAACCAGATTAAGGAATATCTTGAACACTTTGGAATTATCTGCACTGAAGCTCCACAACGCTCCTTTTGCTAAACATTACCATCTGCTAAACAAATGTCAACATCATGGAGAGAGGCTTTACGTATACAGATCAAATACATTCAGATTATTAAATGCGAGTTTCTTTCCAGTAAGGGCTAGTTCTGAAAATTCAAACTAGAATCTCATTTTTCCTCCTTCTGCATCACGAGTTATAGCCGACAATTGTCTTCACCCACAGTTTTCAGTTTGTTTGCACAGCTTTAGGCAGGTAGAATTTGTCAAACAATCGCCTTGATGTTATTCAAACGACAGCACTGTGAACTGCCGTTAGCAGGTAACATGCAGATACTAATCTGAGCACTTACAAGAACTTATTGTGTATAAAAAGGCAACAATTTTATGTAGTCATTTTCAGAACATAACTGCACTTTAAACAATGCAAAACATATACACAGTCATCAGAGAAATTTCACTGCAAGTATTCACTTGTTTATATTCCAAAACCTCCTGGAATGCTACCTTCATCTGAAGGCTTATACTGGTTGTCAGCAGCAGACTGAAAAAAAAGAAGCTGCCTCTGCTATTTTCTGCTGGCTTTAAATTGTATCAGACTGAAAAACAGGGTTGTATTTCTGTAAGAAAAGGATTTTCTTCAGGGTTGGACTGGGGAAAGGACAGATGGCATCAGTACCCTACATCTTGTGTGATGCTCAACAAGTCATTTGTTTTGCCTGGATCAGATACATCTAAGCTACAACGACTGCAGTTTCTTTGAAGTGAGCTGTTCTTGCCTCTTTGGCAGATGGCTGAATTATTTTGAACAACACTTAGTAAGGGATGCTCTTGCACCAACCGTAAACCCAGCCCAACAAAAGAACTGGTTATAACAACATTCACTATGCTGAGTTTTATTTGACTAGGTTAGAACAGAACCGGGCAGCAACCTGACCGACTGATGTGCAACACACAAACACCAGCTACAGAAACCCTGGATGACACTTAACAATGATACATGTCGTACAAGACAACTAACTGTGGAGTTTTCTGAGGGTCTGAACCTCTCCTACCTTCCTCGGTGAAGTGACAGCCAAACAATTTGTTGAAATATGACAATGACAGAAGGGTATGAGGGACTGATGGGCCCACACTTAGAAGTGAGTGAAGAGCTCTGGGAGGATGAGGCTGCCTAACCAAAGAGAAAGCAAGAGACAAACCAGTTTAGATATGAAATCCTGTGGAACGCGAACCAACTACATGATCCTAGATTGAGGGATGGGCACCTGATGCACTGACTGAACTGAACTCATCGAACTGAGTGCCAAGAAGCAGAACTAGGACCGATACACCCACACTGCACTGCAACATTCCCAGTTCAGCAATACTGAACTCCTTACTAGAAGAATTAGCCCTCCTTTACTTACCATCTTTGGACTCAAAGAAAACAAACTCATACGCTGTAAGGAATAAGGGATGGTGACAGGGTACATGCCAAATAAAGGGCTTTAAAATCCAAACATACAGAGAGTTTAGACAGTGCAGCTTCTTGAGGGCATCATTGTCTTTGAATTTCATTTATTGGAGGTTGCCCCTGCGTACCTGCTACTGATACCTGCAGCTAATCAGACAGGCCATCAGTTCTTGCACTTCTGTGAAAGCTACCCAGACAGAGCATTGCTACTGATATGTGCTTCCACATCAGACTGACACAGATTTTGGTATGATAAAAGTGTATTGTGTGCTTAATTCAGGAGATGGACTACTGACAAGGGACACATACTTTTGGATGCCAAGTTTACTGAAGCCATTAGTGACTTTTCTCTCCAATTTCAAAGTTTGCTTTATATGCCCATACATGTGCAAGTATATATTCCAGGCTAAAAGCACTAACTTCTTCAGAGGAAAAGGAATCAGATTACTCCAATGAGTTCCAAGTTCTGTCAGGTGTATTTCACCTCATGATTACTATCAAGAATGATCTGGCAAAGATCCAGTTTGAGTAAAGTGTAGAATGGCATCTCTGTGACATACAATGGATTGAGAGCCAAAATCGGATGATGCAAGTAGGTGGATGATGGTATAAACTGGGAATGGTGGTTTATAACACAATGTAAAATACTCCAGATCAAAACTATGATCAATGCCTTGTTTCCACTATAGGAGGTAGAAGACTGACAAAAATAATAGACAAGTAAACAAGATTGGGTGTTGTCGGTTTCATCTTTATGTCTGGAGAATAATTAAGTTCTGGATAAGTCATTCTGTTCCTTTTTCATGAGTAGATCAGAAGAAGCTCTGACACTAACATAGTGTTACTTATTGCTTCTTTCAGATGTCCTCACCTTGGTCAGCAAGCAAAGCTGACTGGTGGTAACTTGACGCATCATCAACACTTGATTCATGGAAGAGATCCAATACCTGAAATTGTCTTGAAAAGCTTTCCAAGGTCCACTAGGTTTTGCATAACCTTTTTAAAAAAGAAGAATTTCAGTTTTTCTTCATTTTTCAGTTTCCTATTGAAGGACCTTGAAATTGAGCATCACTCCACAACAAACCTCTCCTGCAAGCACAGCAAACATTTGGAGAATCTATCATTTGCTGTAATTATTACACCACAGGAGAGCCAGAGCCTGACCTCTTTCAACTTTAATCTGGATTCTTTATGTCTTTGTATTGAATTGGAAGCATCCCAGAATTCAGTGTCCTGGACACAAGCGGGACACAGATACTGAGCTACAACCACCTCTGCTCATTGAAACCTAAAGGACAGACAGCAACATGGTTTCCCAAGAAGGTGTGGTCCCAATGTTATCTAACAGAATCAGATTTGGTGTGCACAGAATATACAGGTGCCAAGACCGAAATTTGTGTCAATGGTCACTCAAAACTCACCACCAGTTGTGTAAACCACCACATCTGCACACTCATTTCCTGACTTTGTCTTCCTAAATTTACAACTTTGTGTGTGCATAAATCACAGTAAGCAAAACAAAGTGCAAATTCTTATTAGAGATGTAAGGCACAGCAATAACATATACAATAAAAATCTCTAAAATAATGTTATACTTCAAGTAACTGGTAATACACTATAGCTGAAAAACCTGCAACTACAGGTTACACACCAATATTCTAAAACACTAAATACTGCATAAATTCAGACCAAACTGCTCTAGAGAGTTTACTATCTAAGCATAAGGCAAGACACAAAATGGAGATCGATAAATGCAAAGAAACAGTAAAAAAGTGTTAAAGATTAGAAAAATGTCTTTTATAGCAGCATTCTTCAGGAAGGAAAGCGTCAGGGCCAGAGAAAGGAAGATTCAGCAATCAAACCAACAGTTTAGGATATAGCGGATAAACTTTAACCGTGTGTATGGAAAGGCTATGTTGTGAGAAATGTTATGTAGAAAAAAGAAGAGAGTCTTAAGCACAGGATGAATATAAGAATCCAGAAAGTGGACCAAATTAAAGATGATTTCAGGCTATGGGCACAAGTGACAGGCACAATGGTCATGTTATCCGTGGTGATCCAGAAAGGTGGCAATGAGAAAGAGGTTAAGAGCTCAGTTTTAGCCATTTTAAACGCGAGCTGTCGGGAAGACAGCCCTGAGGAGATGTCAGAGACAAACAGATTTTTTTTAGGCTTGCTTTGAAACTCTACTCCATTAAAGCAAATATATAAAAATGACCGACTGTTAGGTTACCTGAAATTTCAAATTTAACTCAAAATACTTTAAAATATTCTTACTCTATAGCCATCATCATGTGTCAGCTCTCCTAATACATTTATGTTAACTGAATACAAAAGAAACGTGAAATAAATATAACCAGGAGGGATGATCAAATCTAATTTTGATACATTAGTGTCATATGCTGTACATGTTACAATAGCAGCCAGACTTAATACTAAGCTGCAGGCTATACTGAAATTTCCAAATGGCAGATTGTTCTAAGTGATACCAAGTATAATTGAAGTAATAAACGATAGTAAAAGCAAAGCACACTGTCAGGAAGAATTTAAGTATTTACTTTTTAAAATTAAATGAGTTAGGTTTGGAAAGGCAAGACAAGTGAAATAATGCAGGGCTCAATTTACAGAAAATTCCTTTTATTTATCTGTTGCATTAACCCTTGAACTCTTGCCAAAATTACTGTAATTTCTAATACCCACTTACCTAAAGGAGGGAGAAAAAAGCCTATTATATTTTCTTATGATACAACAGCTAGCCCCAACTTTCTTCTTCTTCAAAAGTGGAAGTGTTCATTATAAAAAGAACAGAAGGAGCAGAAACATCTAAAGTAATGGCTTAATACAGCTACTTTTGCCCATTAAATGTAAGCAGCACTGCAGTCTACAGCATATGTACCCTCTGGTTGAATTTTTCACAAAACTTTGTTTCAACAACCATGGTGCGTTTGGGGCTTTTTTTTTTAAAAAGCAACATGTGTATTTAATTGTAACTCAAAAAAAATATTGTACTAATAACCTTCAACTTCCCAATACATGTTAATACCACAATAAAACAAAACCCCTAGCTATAAATACTGGGAGCTATATATCTTTTATGTGGTCAGGATGGTATCAGACGTAAACTAGAATCATGTCATACACCCACAGCTCAAGATGAATTAGTATTCCAATCGTTAATAACACTACTACTTTTTATTTACAGATCTTGTGTATAATATTCTCACCTACAGTGCCTTCACTCCTTTATCAGGCTAAGGAAGGAAGAGCTAGACAGGTGATAAGCTGTAGAGGTACACAGGTGAGCTTTCTCACTCTGTGAACTGAGAGTCTTCACAGTTTCATTTAATCCTGATATTTTCTTTGCAAGTTTGTTCTCGTAAGGGTAGTGTAAATTCTTTTTGCTCTAACCTTTAATTCTAAGAAAAAGAAAATAGATTGCATTATCAGCACTATAAATCTTTAATTTACTCTTTGCAAACGAAATACCTATTTTATATATGCATTTCAATGTTATGTTCCTTTACACATTCAGCGGATTTTCATCTGTTCTCCCTGAATTAATGTCTTTTCTTGCTCTTGTTCATGTCTTCAGAAACAAATGCTTCAGAGGTATCCAAAACATTGAACAGTTTTATTTACTACTCTATAAGACTGATCGAAAATAAGTTGAAAATTGGCTTAGCCTCTGAAACAGCAGAATCTTGATTTTGCACTGGCTTGACTGTCAGGAAGAAGTTTTGTTTTAATTTAATTTAATTTCCATTTATAAGATGAACCTATCATGCACCTCTAGGCACATTTACAATATAAAAACCAGCAACAGTTCCAAGCCAACTACTGCAAGTTTGCTTGTTTTTCTCCCATTGAAAGAAATAGACAAAGAAAGCACACAAAACTCAAGTTTCTCTGGAGGTCATGAACATGCACTCAGAACAATTAAAATTGTTAGCACACATACGGCGCTCAAATGATTTTGAGGTCCCCTATAGTGTGTGTGAGCTGGACAGCATTTCATAAAACACCTTTTGCTGATGTGTTCACTCTAAGCAGCACGAGTACTTGTAGAACTAGTAAAAGAATTAAGCCTGCTTTCCTACTCATCTCTCCTGATACCACTTGCTGGCTTCTCTCAAGATGCAAACTTCAGCTGATGCTTTTCTCAAGTTTGGGATGACTTTCATAGCATCTCTCTCTCGTGCTGGTTCCTTGATGTCTAATGCTTCTTCTCATGCAGTCTTTATCTGCTGAGTAGGAGCACTAAGAGTCTCTCTCACTCTGTTGCCTTTACTTAGCCTATCTTCATTAAACATACATGAAAGGAACACCTTTGAAACATGGGAGACCTAATTGCGGCTTACCAGTACCTGAAGGGGCCTACAGGAAAGTTAGGGAGGGACTGTTTATCAGGGAGTGTAGTGACAGGACAAGGGGTAATGGGTTTAAGCTAGAAGATAGGTAGATTTAGATTGGATGTTAGAAAGAAATTCTTTACTGTGAGGGTGGTGAGGCACTGGAACAGGTTGCCCAGAGAAGCTGTGGATGCCCCCTCCCTGGAAGTGTTCAAGGCCAGGTTGCATGGGGCTTCAGGCAACCTGGTCTAGTGGAGGGTGTCCCTGTCCATGGCAGGAGGTTGGAACTAGATGGTCTTTGAGGTCCCTTCCAACACAAACCATTCTATGATTCTATGTCTCTCTCCAATTTGATTGAAATGGGCCAAAAAAGTGTTAGGGAAGGGAGGAGAGACATAAAGGCAGGCTCACAAGCCACCATTCATGGGGAAACCAGGCTTAAAAAGAAGAACAAAACCCACACACCAAGGAAGAACAGGAAATAAAGTGACACAGAAATAAAGTAGCTTGATTAAACAGCCCATCAGTAGCTGAGCCACAAATATAATCCCAATCTTTTGATACCCTCTACATATCCATACAGACTTCAAATATTCCAAATTATTGATGATTGTGGGTAAAGGAGGAGAGAAATAGGCCCAGGGCAAGCTGGAGTTGTTAAAAAAGTCCAGCTGACACCATTTTCACAAGGTAAATCACAGGAGGCCTGGACCAGCACTGAACCTTGCCCGGCAGGAACAGCTCAATGGAGATTCAGAGTGCTCCTGGAAAGAGACACAAGATCTTGCCTGTTCTGCTGAAGTCCACAGGATTTGCAAATTATTTATTAATTAATTCTCACTGTGACCTATCCACCCCCTTGTCAACACCTTTGAATGCTCTAATTTCAAACATCATTACAATGTTTGTTTATAAGGTAATTACAAGCTGTGTTTTATAAAACCAAGTTTCTGTTTAAAAAAATACAGAATCCAGTCAACTTAGGAAAAAATATATACACGCTGTTCTATATTAGAACAATACCATCAATCTTATTGTAAAATTAGTTATTTTTGCTAATAAACCACTTCTATAAATCATTTAACAACCCAAGTATTACCCCGGCTCTGCTTCAGGAAATAAAGAACAGAAAGGACCCAGCACCATAGACATATAAGAAAAAACATTTTTTAATTTAAAGAAAAAACAAAACACCAAACAAACCAACGTAAGATGTGACAGTGAGAAGTTAGAACTCATAGTCAGTCTATAATAATAACAATAACAATAATATTTTTTTTCTTCAAGTTGAACACAAAGAACAAAAAAGTCATTAATAATTGAAGCTTGCCAGAGGCATGGCTATTTCTCTCTTTACTAACTGTCTACTGTCTAATTTAATTACAAGTATTAAACTCCATGCTGAGATCAACCAGCTTCAGTTCCTCCAATATTACACTTCAACCAGTGCTCATTAACGTGTCTACTGAATGGATTAGCACATCTGAAGATGTATGTACGCAGGACGGGGGACAGTCTAATGATAGCCAATTGTTCATTTATAACAGGACACATGTTCGAGACTGTAACTTATTATCACTAATGTGGAATTTATTAAATTCTAAAGAAAAAAATACCAGTACAGAAAACCATTTTTTTCTTAATGTGGCTACAAGAGATCATATCACTGTTGAGCATTTGTGCCTGTTCCAAGACAAAACACCTTATATACAATAAATGTTGACAAATTCTTAGTATTTTCAATTTTTTTTTTGAAGAGGAAATTATGTTAATAGACAGCACGTGACTCTTAAGTGAATAAAAAGTCATCTTAGAGAGTACTCACCACATAGTTATTAATTGACATTTAAAGACTTAAAGTGCTAAAACATCATTCAGACGTAATGCTTTTTCTTCTACACAAACCATTATCTCCCTTCGTTTTTCACCACTATACGTGTGATCCTGCCAACATTTGCAATGATGGCAAAAAATCATCAGTAATGCAAAATTAGAATTGGTGGAGAATAATTTACACGGCTTAACCTACTTCAGTAAAATACCAACTATTAGTAGGTAAAGATGGCATATTTTACGGTTTTTTTTCCTTTGACTAATTTCTCTGGGTTTACTGCCAATAGAAAATATGTTATTCAGAAACATCTACCTTTTTTGTTAAAGAGTCATCTGAATCAGACGGCATTCTTGTTGACACATGGAACATTACTTCTACTGTCGAGGTAGCAAAATATGGAGTGGTCAGTCCAGTGCTTTTGTTTTTTTGCAGTCCTCCCATAAAGCCACAATGGTTTGTGAGATTTACCTAGAAGTAAAGCCCAGGAAGCATTAGGAAAAAAAAATTATCAGGTGATAAATACATTCTTTACACTTTGAAATGCACTTTCAACTGAATTTTTAAAAGTGAAGGCCCTTTTCACAATAGTACAGTTGTGCTTTTCTAAAAGAGCTCAGACTTGCTGACTAGACTGGAAATCAACTGCAGCGCAGTGGCATTCTATATTCCATGGTCACCACAGATGCTGCTGGCAAGACGAGGTTAGAGAAAAGGAAAGATTGTGTAGATGAATGTTTATTGCATTATTCCCTGATCAGTTGACTGTAACCACTTACATGTGCTTTTTGAATTTTTAAAAATTCTGTGATACTACATCAGCCTTGACATGAGCTCTTAAGAAACCCTGCCTGACAGCCAGACAATTTTAAATTGTCTTGTTACCTTCCATATATTTTCTTGAGAAATTTTCATTCTCTGAATATGAAAAAAAAAAAAATCACAGGAAACTAACTGACCATTTGTAATAACTTTCTCAGTCTTAGTTCTATGGGAAATAGTTTGGCACTGAAATAAACATGCTTAATGTGCTATTTCACTTTCACAACTGTGCCTAAAGAAAGCTGTATTTCGTAAGTGAATACATTTAATATCTGCCCACATGGGATATATTTGCTTTTCTGTTAATAAAGGATTCAGAATTTAATGTTAAGAGGTTAAAATATTAGATGTCTCATCATGGAATATTAATCCAAATTAGCAACTCTTTAATCTAGCTAATAAAGGCTAAGAGAATTAACCCACTAAAGAAGGATATTTGAAGACACTAATGTGATTTATTTTTTTTCTCCTGAAGAATCAGGAATGTGGGAAATAAACATCTATGTTCATGACAGTCAGCTGACTTCTGCAGTTCTCCTCTGTTCCTGTGGAAAAGTCAGAGTCATTATCCACACTGCTAATCTAGTAGTGCTCCTATATACCTAAGGAGTAAAACCAGAACAAGTAAGATGGACGCTCATGTGGACACTCCTGATGAACATAAGCCACAAGAGGAACAGAAAACCTGCAGTTTCTTAGGCAGCCAGCCAAGAGCAGGAGTGATTCTTGGACTTCTGCGCGACAGCGCCAAGTTGAACTTTACAATGGAAGTTAATCCTGTGCAGTCAGAAAGAAAGGATGCAAAAAAGGAAATCCTCATAACAGTATCTTAGTGACTAAAGAGTTGCAGGTCCATACAGACGATGGGGTACCTCACAGTATTTCTGACTGCTGGAAGAGACATGGAGCTGACTGTGTGAACAGATAACATGCCTGCCATGGAAGGCAGGAAGAACGGAGCATGAGAGATGCTGCACATTGTCTTTCTTGGATTCCCAAATTTGAACAAATCTCAAATTTCAATGGACTTAACACTGTACAGAGAAATCAAGATGCCTCCTAATCGGTCCATGAAAGCCAAATACAGGACTGCACGTTAAAGAATCATCTCTGCCTGCACAAACTTTCTTAAATTGAAAGAGCTTAAAATTAGATTGTTAGTATTGGTAATGAAATTAAAATCAGAATTGTTCTCTACATCCTACTTGCAAGCCAGTGTATTTCAGTACTTGTGAGTAATGCTAAAGAGCCAAAGACTTAAAATATCTAAAGGGATCTGTAATTTTCTCTGTAAACAAACTGAGGGTAAAAACGTTTTAATAAATACCTCCCAGCCAAGACCAGCTACAAAATCCTCATAGGCTTGACTTCCCCCAGTATTCGTAAGAATGGAGTGTTTGTCTTCTTGTCCCTCAGCAACATAAAACACTGCAATCTTGTGTGTCTCTCGGCTGTAAAACAGAGAATGATCACTGCATGACAGTGCCTTTACTAGTATGAAACCAAAATATACAAACAGGACACACAGAGCATGGCTTTTAAAACATCAAAAAAGACAGCGGAAGTAAAGTACAACTGTACGGCTTCTTTTTGAATACTTTCTGTATTTCCATAGTCTTTTCTAGTCTGGTCTTCTCTAGACCCTAAAGTTTTGCTACACATGAACAGCATTTAGCCACTTCATCACTTCTAAGATGTAGGATGGTGCTGGCAGTACCGATTGCTAATGGAACAGCTGGGCTTCTGAAATGAGCAAAACCTGTAACACAGGCATTATCGACTCTGCACTGCCCATTAACAGCAGTGCCTTGTTGAATGCTGTGGCAAATGCAGCTTATGCAAGAATCTTTAAGTACTATAGCAATGTCTTCTGTTCACAGCTTGCTGTTAGACACTGGAGCAGCTGAAGGTGGTTTCTCACACTTTTAAAACTTCCACTGGATTTTATTTCAACTTCTACAAAAACAATTCAAAGTTTTTAATTCTGTGCTGCAACTCCAACTAGAATTCCATGTCTTCAAATACCAGCAGCATTGGAAAACAGCTAAACAATTAGCCAAAGCTTAAAACGTGGAGACTTTGACATATCAAAGTTTTAAAACTATTCCACATTATGTATACAAATGTTCACATTTTTAAGTTATTTTGAAGTTTGTTCTATCTCGTGATAGTCTACTTGTAGAGTTTCACTCCACAAATAACACCAATGTAACTTCAATAACACCAATACCTACAACACAGTGCAAAATACATTAATAATTTACAAAACTATTTTAAAAATTAGTTCAATTCTCTGTGCAATTAGGGCCATTTAAGTACAAGCACAAAACAAATAAGTAGGTAGCTATTAAAGAATTTACCATTGTCTTGAGTCCAAATTTCTGAGTTCTCGAAGTAACTTCTCATTTTTCTTCAGGAGATGAAAGCTCCTTCTAAATAGAGAAATTTGTAACTCTTTTATCACCTGTTCACTGATGGACACAGAACAGTACAAGAATGGTACAAGAATATTTCCGGGTCCATTCAAGAACAGTCAACAAATGCTTTTGCCTTTTCCATAGTCTTTTCTTAAATAAAATATTAAGTTATCTTTTAAAAAACATACATGCAATTTTTTGTTACTACAGGAAATCTTCTACATCCATTATAGCCCTGAGTACAACCTTTACTTCTTTCCACTTTCTTCTGTCAACCTATTGGATTCAACTGTGGTCAATCTCTTCTCTACAGAAGAACAGACAGAACTCCCTTTGACATATATAAGCCGCACGCTTTTCTAGGCCATAATATATATGCTTAGTGACAAAAGACACTCCCATAATCTACTGTCCTAGGGAGTTAGTGCATTAGACACAGAGCTTTTGCTATTCTAAACTGCTGAAGAGAGCAGAACATAGCTCACTAGTCACCCAGCCAGTTAAAGAAAAAAAAAATTAAAGAAAAAACAAAACAGTATGTTAGAGCAAGAGGCACTTTTCATTACTTTTAAACTATGCTTAAGATGTTTCCCACAAAACACAGTGGACTGAATTTAAGAGCTGACTGTTCAAAATCAGACTGCCTTGAAGAATTGAAGACCCAAAAAAAGAAGGGTTATAACACCAAAATTTTGTCCGAGTCCAGTGATATCTCAGTGACACAGATTATTTTTGTTTTACAGAAAATATTTCAATGCCTCTAATATGGAATTTGACAGCTATGGCAAAAGAAGATTTCAGAAAGACCCTGAAATTCTAGGATGCTAATATTTGTACATACCCACATGTATATGCAGACATACACCTAACTACACCCCCACAAAAATAATAATGTAAACAGAGACATTACTTTTGTAACTGAACATGGCTTGTCTCCTGTTGTTCTAAACAATACCCAAACATTGCCGATGCTGAAATAAATTGTAGGGGATGCATATTTCTCATTAGCTAACACAGATGCAATGCTTTGAGGCTGCATGCAAGCGTGCTCTTAGCAGGCAAAGCAGCAGGACACTGTCCAGCAACACAATAGCTGAGAATATGACACTTTCAGAGTCTCATTCTGGCATAGAAAGGTAATGATTTTTGCAGGAATATATATGGGAAGCAAAGAAAGCACAAAAGATGCCTTCTTTACCCACAGTAGTACTCCTTAGTATAGCTGGTGAAAAGATTATTAGAAAAGATATCACTCCTTCAATTCAGCTTGCAACACTGTTCTAAGGAAAGAATATAAATAGCAGTAAAGGCAACGGGTTCCTCCTTTCTGTCTCTCTAAATGACAGATTGAAATGCAGAATAAAACTGCCATTTTCCCCTTAGTTGCACATCCCCTCTCCTCTTTTGTTGGCTGGCCTGGAGTATTTTTGGCTTAACCCACTCTATGATCAACTATTATTACACAGTAAGAACAGCACAATTCCATAAAAGAAAGTTCTTAAATTGTGAGTCTTTTCTTTTTACCTTTTATCCCAAGAATTCATTCCCAGTATACTGAGAAGTAATCTGCAGTAGTAAAATGCTGACTGGGGCTTTTGTGAGGTTGGCTCATCCTGCTCCATAGCCCTCATATTTAGATCATTGAAATGCTTTTCAACAAACTCCCTCTCTTCTGTGTGCTGTTTCAGAATTGCATTGATGACATCATTCTCCTGCTTCTCTGAGATGCAAACTGGTTGAGGAGCAGGAATGTTGAGTGAGACACCAGTTCTCTGTAAGCATTCAGGACTTGTAACACCTAAATACTGCAGGAGCTCATCAAGGGCATCTTCTTCATCCCTAATTGTATCCCACGTTGGTACAGTGTCTCTAAATTTCCTTTTTACTTGGAGTGTAATTCCATCCCTCGCAGATACATCCTCCACATGCTCAAAAGATGAAAGAGCATCTTCTGGTTTATCTTGTTGAGATAATGAAAGTGCAAAAGACGTTTGTTGTGAAGATCCACATAAAGATGATGGTCCATACAAAATGGCCGAATCCCATGAGTATTTGCCAGATAGATCACGCACTATAATTCTAACATTTGAATTAGCAGATGCAAGTCCAGCAGACAGTCCTCCCCCAGGCATGTCGTCTTCTGCTTGGATTTGTATGCAAGACACCAGGGAAGTATTGTTTAACACAAAGAATTGAAGGTTTGGGTTCTCAAAAAGTTCAGGAGAAAGTTCAGGACTTTCACTGTAGGGATTGTCATTGTTTTCACACACTTGACTGGTTAGCATAGCAGGACCTCCGCTCATAGGATAGTGGCCTAGGTGATTGACTAGATGTGTTATCACAGTACGAGCAGCAACAGAAATTAATCCTTGTTGCATGTGAGTTTTCACTGCAAGAGAAAGAACACAGGTTTTAAAAACACAGTTCAGAAAACAACACTGAGATTTATGTACTTCTTTTGGTGTCCTCTTATTCGTGAGTTTTAAACAGAGGATGAGTGCTGCAAGGTCAGGATACATTCAACTCAGTAATGGAAAAGATGTATTTTGATGAACACTGGCCTCATATATAAATAGCATGAAAAATCGTTAGAGAGTTAAAGCAGCATCTTCATTATCTTACAGCCTACCACACCTCCTTTACCATAGCTTTGTAATCAGCATGGTTCTTCCAAAATACACAATTTCTTAATCTAGTGAAAATAAATCTTAAATTTCTGATGAAGAAGAGATCATAATTGTGTTTTAAGAAGTCAATTTCCAACTGCAATAGATTCTTATATTTATACACATCATTACATTGCGGAAAAAAAAAGGAACATAGATGCACAAAACCTCTAATCCATCTTAATTTCCCCAGGCAGCATACAGCTGTAGGCTAGGTTGAGAATAATACTGGATGATTTTAAAGTACCAACTCAAGGAATGGGCTATCTATACTGAATACAATCTAACAGTAGCACAATTTTCAAAAAGCAAATCTTGTGCCCTAACTGCATTTTAAGAAGTTTCAGGCTGGAAAACCTTGGAGGGAGAAAGAGAAGTTAATTGTGCCTATCTAATGTGAAATTCTTTGTTGCATACCTTCCACTTGCATGCAACATTATCTAAATTCACAATTTCTTAATGTTTATACCACACCCTGCTAACCCAATACTTTACACTGATTGGGATCATCTTCTGTCAAATCCACTCTACATCACCCATGAAGTACAGAGCTGGTCAAAGCGACTTTGTCAGACAGACAACCCTCAACTGGCTCAGGGTACCCGCTGAAGAACCCATACACAAAAGTATCACACTATAGAAGATCACAGGTGGAAGAGAAAACAGGATCAATATGGCAAAGCAAATATTTCTGCAGCATCTCTCTTGTAACAGGACCTGGATGGCCTGAATTTGGGATTTACAAGGGGAAGATAAATCAAGACTGTATTCTTCAGGAATACATCATATACTTTAAACTCTATTAAACACTGAAAACTGCTGCAAACACTTGCCACCTTCCTTCTCACCAAAATCCATCAAACTAGAATGTTCTGACCCATGTTGCTTTTTCATTCAGTATTTACTGAGAAAACATAACCTCTTGGACATGTAAGTACGGTATAATTAGCTCACGTCCCTTTATAGTGTGTATTTATACACAATAAAAACTAATGTTTAATAAACAAATTTCTTTTTGCAGTTTAAGGTGTCTTAATTGATTTGACTGGGAAAATAAAGGCAAATTCGTAATGCGTACTGACTGTCCTGACAGATCTTTAGTTTCTGAAGCACTGGATGGATGCATTCTGCATCTGCATAAATAAACAATTAGTATATATTTGCCTTCCCTCCCTGCCCCCCCCAAGGTTTGGGTAAAGCATGTAAGAGACATTTGGGATTATGGCTCTTCTCTACCTTTAGGGATCTGAATTGCAAAAAGGGAAACATTTCATTCAATTAATAGTTGGCAAAATCAACTTAATTTTTACACTAATCCAAAACTCAGATAAACTCCAATATTTTAATGAATTAAGGCCTTGAAAACTAATATAAACAAATTAGATAGTATATTTTTATTATCTATAACCTTCCTGAGGTTTAAAATTTACAAACTCAAAAACATTCAATGAAGCTGAACTAAATGTCTAGATATTGATAGCATACAAGGAAATTAAGTTATAGTGCCATCTGCTGAAATATAAGAAGGAACTGTAAGCAAGTTTATACAAGTCAAAGAGAAAATAAGTTGGATGCTTGAAGAATAATTTATCAGTGCAGTACTAACCAGCACCTGGACAATGCAGAGGCTGGCTCATCTTTGTCAGGATATTTATGCCAAATGTTTAGCACTTGGCACTACACAGATAAGGCAATACTCTATTCAGGTTCCTAGGTGCAAAGATGTGAGCTTCCCAGCTACACGAATCACAGAATCATAGAATTGTGTTGTTGGAAAAAACCTTTAAAATCATCAAGTCCAACTGTTAACTCATCATTGCCAAGTCCAATCACTAAACCATGTCCCTAAGCACCACACCTATGTGTGTTTTAAATACCTCCAGGGATGGTGACCACTTCCCTGGGAAGCCTGTTCCAATGATTGACAACCCCTTCGATGAAGAAATTTTTTCCTAACAGCAAATTTAAACCTTCCCTGAAGTCTCGTAGGTTAAATGCCTTTGGTTAAGTTCTGAAAAACCTGAAGAAATGAGAGGGACCTGTTAGCATATAAGTTATTACTATTACTGTTCTATGGCAAACCCTAAAGATCTCAAACCTGACTATGGCTGATTGTACCTGTGTGCATGAACTTACTCCCTCAGAAGCCTAAGGGACATATGGAAAAGAAAGGTGATACAGGGATACAAAGAGCGAAGCATCGAATTTAAATCTGGAAAGTCCATTCCCAGTCCTACCACAGTCTTTCTCTGAAAATTTTACTCTTGAATTAAAATTTAAAAAAAAAAAAATAATCAAAACCAAATTGGGATACAAATCTGTCGTTGCCTCTTTTATAAATTGAGAACAGTACTTCTCACTGAGTCTTCCCTCAGAATACAGTATTGTTGATCTAAAAATGACACAGAAAACTTAAATCAGAAGTATTAAGAGAAGCATACTGAAAAGTAACCTGTAAGATGTAACCTGTTATATTGAAATAAAATAAAGCAATCTTGAAACATTTTTGCCACACAGCAAATCAGATTTTGGTGATGGTTTCCCTTAGCAAAAAACCCCAAACAAAACAAACCAAGTAATTCTTTTTGAAAATATGATAATTTTAAATTAAATTCACAACTTAAAGGATACATTTTAATAATTTGTTCCTAGAAACACATCTCCTCAATCAGGAACAACCAGACATTCAATATATTAGCACTCTTAAAATAAGTATCTAAACCATGGTCTTTGTTTCTGGAGGGCAGATCAATAAATGCACTAAGGCAAGCCATCACAGGTTTACCACAAATTCTACAAACCAAGTCATATCATGATACACTAAAGCAGTCTAGCTGGATGCTTTGCCAAACTCTCTTCTTGAGTGAACACATCTCTGCTCTCTTTACAATGGTACAGTGCTCGGGCAATGTAATTTATATGTGTACATGATCACTTGGTAATTTACTAGAAGCATTTTTTCAGTCCCTGAATTTATCTCTTTTGTGGAAAGGCTGAAGGTCCATCACCATGAATTTCTATCAGTGGCATGAATGGAGAATTCCTGAATTTCCTTAAGATGTGTTGTTAACTCCTTAATTCAACTTTGGCTGAACAGCTTCTAAAAAACTACAGTTATGTAATAGAAGGAAAAAGTAATGACTGAAGGTGGAATTTAACTCTGCTCATCCTTTTAGCTATCTAAAGCATGATGCACCTGTACAGACTGATTCATCTCAGTTAGAAGCCCAAACTGGAGAAATGGGATGAATCACTCTCTGGGAACACTTCTCTTTCTCCATTACATTCAGAAGGAGCCTAGGAGAGTTCAGTTTAGCTTAGCTACCTGTATTTTACATTACTTAAGGAAGTCTCACTCCTTTCTAATTTTAAGCTTCAGGTATAGAGAGATGCAGTTACAGAGAACCCATGTCTAGAATGTCCCTCACAAAACACAAACTATGCTAATCTGGATGCACCATGTATGAAGTGTTTTTTAAAAAGCATACTTTTTGTCTCCTTTCAGTAAAAAAGCAAAGAGCAAAGCCTTAAAAGTACTTTATATTTCTATATTTTAAATAAAAGCTAAGATTAAACATCAGAAGGGGGAAAATTTTTAGGAATTGAAATATATTAGGAAAAATTATCAATCTATGAAAAAAAGTTTAAAATATGTTTGGAGAAATATGACAAATGGGGGAAAATCCATGGCAGATCATGGCACAACGCAGTCCAAGTCAGCTTTCGCACATCTAAACTGTACAGTGAATGGCTATAATGCTACACTACCCTTGGAGAAAGTGTACCTCTGTCAGTGTGACACTGAAACCAGGCTAGTTAGGTGCAGTTAATTAGCACAGACAGCACTTGTATGCACATATCGTAACTAGAGGAAGCTGTTGTCGATACTAGCTGGAGGAACAGTTCGTCAACCTTCACATAGACAAGCCCTGTGATTCCTTAGATGTATGAAAGCACCACAGACTTGCTGTCTCCAAGTTCTGATGATGCAAGAAAAGCTTCCTACTGACGTCTTTATTGCCAGCTGTTAAAAATTCATTCTGGTTTAAATATAACACTTTAATATACTTAACACTGAATTTCAAAATTATTCTTTGTGTTTCTTATACTGCAATCTAGCACTTTACCTGAAACCTACAGAAAGCAGGAGAAAGACAATTTCACAGATAATCCTAAGTATAGCAGATTCCTTGTGAGAGATAGGAAAGTTACTGGAACAGAGAGGGGAATAGTCCTCTCCCCACATCACCTGTTTCCAGAGGATTTAACAAATCTTTGCTGTGCCCTTTATTGCAGGGCTTGCTCCAGCCTCTCAATAGATCCTGTCCCCACTACACAGCTGTATCACTGAAAATCTCGTATCTTCACGGCCTCATACCATACCATACTGTTGCTAAAAACTTGTGATGGATCTGACCTTGAACAATAGAGGCATAACAGGCTATGTCCATCACATCTATTAAACCGATCAAAAGCACCCTGTCTTAAGAATTCTGGTGTTTCAGTACTTTCAGCTTTTCTTGTGACCTAAGGAAGGAGACTAGCAATCCCCACCCGGTCTTTGTAAAACTTCCCTGACTTCCCTACAACTGCTGTCCCGCCCATTTCTACTCCTTCAAAACAGATACCATGACAGCACTTCTACTCTACTAAAAAAGCAGTTGACCCACTGGCAATACAGCTCTGCTGCTAGCTTGCACTAATTGACACCCTGTCTTGATCGAGTCCCAGCCTGGTTGTTATCCAGTAACTTTACTCCTCTCGCTCCTCCAACAATGCCAGGGAGAACAGATGCTGTGCGACCAGTTAAGCACTGCCAATTTTATTCTCTGCCTGGCAATGTGGACTAGAAGTGCCAAGGTTGCAAGACCAGGGTTGCATTATAATGCTGTAGTTTGCCAATTAAATTTCACGATCTGATTTACAATTCCAGAGGCCTGAAACTTTAAAAACATATGGGGCTTTCTTAATCCATCTGGAGAGATAAAAGGAACATCTGAAATTACTTTTATTTAGAAATTTAACAAGAAATCATTAAAGAACAGATCACATACGGAAATGCAAAATGAAGATATCGATGCTAAGGCTTTATGCAACTACATTCATTTAAAGAGAAATCTATTCAGGGTTGTCTTTTCAGATTGTCAGATTAAACAAGCCACACAGCATTTGCTGCTAACCCATAATTACAGATTATTACAGAATACAAAGGATGCCAGGCATAAAAAGCTACTACAATTCACTACACTGTAATAGAACATGCAGTGGAAGTTAATTTTGGCAAATGCTTTAAATATTAGCTTTACATAATATGTATAGGTGAGACTGTAATTAGGACAGAATGAATCCTTCGAAGCCTCTTTCATTCTGACCCAGCAGATGATTACTTTTTACTAATAAGACCACAGCCATTTGACAAAAAGCCAACTATAGTACCTTGCTTCATTCTTCAGTAAATTTAATAATTACAGCTCCTCCTGCCAATAGTTCTCAAATCAGACTTGTTGAATCCAATACCGAGCTTATTAGGGGACAGCTCTATGTTTAGAATTCTTTGGCCAAAAAAGTACTTGAGGATGATGAAGCATGCCTTAGACAAGGGCACAATGATTAGCCATTTTCTCTACATAAAAAACAGCACGTAGTCACTACAGACCACAAAATCACCTGCTGTTAGCACACAGCTGCTACAAAGAGCTTCTGCATTTATCTGGTTCTTAATACCTTTAAGGAAGCCTAAATGGATCAACTTAATATGGAGGGAGAATAGCACTACACAGAGTTTCTGGTATCAGTATTAATCTCATCTTTTTCAATTTTCTTCCCAATGTAGCCATCTGATATTTACTAGATATACTGCATAATATGCACTACTCCTCCAAAGCTTAGTTTCTTGATTCGTTATTTTCATTTTCGAGTTCTGAAGAAAATGTTAATTCCTGGGTCTCTTAAGGTTCTAAGAAGATGAGAGCAAATTTCTCTCTTTTTAGATAACTCTGTGGTTTTAAACGGTGTAAACAGATTGACAATGCATTATGATAGGTTAAAAAAAAATAAATCAGAGAGAGCTTTCAATATTGCAAGTTCAGACAGTAAATAATCCAAAACATTCATAGAAAAAGGAGCAAAATGAAGAAAAAAAAATTAATTTACTGAAAGTAAAATGAAACACAACATTTATCCATGTTGCAGTACTTAACACTTTTTGCTGATACACAGAGCACAGAAGAATCCATATCAAATCAATCTTCATGTTGTTCAGAAGATACTTATTTCAGTTAATCGAACAGTAATTGCTCAAAATTATGTTAGCTCATTCCATACTAATGGTCCTTACCTAGTGTCTAGGTATAATTTAAAACTTATGTCTTAGACAAACACTTCAATACTGGAAAGCCAAGATAAAATCTTTTTGAAAGCAAACGTATTCAGGCAATTTGACAAACCTTCAGTGACTGGCTGAAGTTTAGAAGATCTCTCCGAGTCTGGAGAATGCAGTGGTTCTGGTTCCTTCAAGCTTTCTAAATGCATAAAAGGATCGTAATCCACACATGCCAAATCAGAAAGGCTTAGAGGAAAATATTTAGGGTTGCTAAAACACTGAGACCCATAGACGCATCCGTGCAGAACCTAGAACAGCAACAGAATTTAATGACATTAACTACTAGAATTTCTACTTGATAGTTTTGTAAGAAATGAAGTTTATTTTCATTTACATTTTTTTAATTGATTTGTTACAATTAAGTAGGCAGGACAAAACGTTGGAAAATTTTAGATGCTTAATGTTTACAGACACAAACACTCGTTTGCAAAGAAAACTGTTAAAACAGTGTCTACACTGACGTGGAATTTAACAATAAAGAAACAAGAAATAAAATTTACAGCAAATCACTAAGCTACCTTTATTTTTAGATCTCCTATCTTCTTTAATTACATATGCTAGGTCTAAGCTGCTGGAGGTTTTAATCCTCTTCCCTTGCAAAAAAACATACCTACCTTTGTTCTGTGTCCCTACAGACAGCAATTATAACTTTGTGCTTTTTACTTTGCTTATTGCTAAATAAAATTGCTTGGTATAAAAAACCTACTTCCTCATCTGTATTAAATGTATCGCTGGCCTTCAACAACACAATATCTGCTATCGGTATGACATGCAAAGTCACTTGATTAAACATCACAAAATATAAGACAAAATTAACAATTCCAAATATAGCAAAGATCAAGTAGTTACATCGAAGAAAACATCAAAGAACTAAGACAGCTCTCCACTTTTCAGCAGTAGAACGGAGGTCAGCTTACAGAAAAGTTTTGTCTTCATTTCCATGAAAACTGACACTGCCTCCATGCATAAAAATTCTCATTTAGCGAGTAAAGAAACGCGTACCTTATATATACAATTAAGAACAGATCTTTCAGTCTTGTCATTTTCTGCTCCTGTGGTGTGAAGAGGCTGCAGCAAGGTCTTTAACGGCAAGGCCATTATCCAATCCAATAAGCACAGAAGTAAAGAAACCACCAACTGGAACGAACACTTTCAATTACAAATCAATTACACCAGCACCTGCTACTTCACATGTATCACTGTATTTTATTTCTCTGTTTTACTTTCTTTTCTCAATTCAGTAGAGTCAACCTTCTGCCATAATGGCAGGTCACACTTGTTTAAAAGCCACTGTATGTTCAAAACCTACAGCATCAGTAAAAACTTTGGCTACTGAGATACTTAACGAAGACCATCCATACAACAGTTTCTCATCATGGTAAGTCTATGAGCAGACACTGTGCTTAAGAGGATACGCATGATTTTTCAAAATTGATTTGCAGGGTGCTGTTTTTAAAATGACAGATTACACAGGTAAAAATTAAAGTTGATGCACCATTCCGCACATAAATCTCACTGTAAAGTGAATCAAGGATTACACAGAACTGAACTATTTCAGTTGCATTTAGGGCTTTATAAAGTACACAGAATTTCCTTCAGAACATGTCAATAATGCTACGCAGCATCAGGTACCATCTGAAAGAAATCCAACTGCTTTCTGTATTGCAGGCTACTCAGCAAAAGAACCAACTCCCTCTAGGGGATGGTTTTAAAGACTGTAGAACAGAATCAGATTAAGATACACACGCCACCCCCCAAATTATTAATAACTTACTGGCTTCAAATAATTATTTTTAATTTTTTAAACTTAGCTGCGGCAGAGGAAACAATTTGGATAAATAGCTGCAAGATTCTCTAAAATCTTTCCCAAGTTAAATAAAAGTCTTTCAAAGAAAATCTACTTAACTAATTTACTAATAAACGACATATAACCATCACACTCATTTCACATAATACGTTACAACTTTGTCTCTCAGGGGCACTGTATAATAAGCCTAATGATGAAGAACACTGAATACTTTTCTATTAAACCAATTTTTAAGAAACCCATTAGGACTAAGTTTGTCAAACTAGGTAAGCCAATTTTTTATATGATATTTGATGTAGAACGATCAGCACTAGTTCATGGAGAAACTTGTTGATTTATGGGAAGCATCTCAAGTGGAAAGCCGGCTAGCTTGGCATACTGCTGTAGTCTATGACAGCCCCTGCCTCCTCACAAGCAGAGAGGAGAGGCAAAATGGAGCTCTGGAGGCCAAAATGAGCAAGAGATGAATGACAGCTCCTGTGGGAATGGGTGGCCCAGAACACCAGAGCTGCCAGCAACAAACTGCACCAAAGTGCCTGAGTTTAAATGACCACTGAGCCCCACAGTCCTAGAGCAAAGCCAAATAATTCAGAAGAGATACAGCTTCTGGGAGGCAGAAAGTACTACTGTGAGTACCAGGTGAAGAAGGAGCCTGTCTTAGCTAGGGGACTCAGGCTCGCTGAAAATACAAAGAGATAGCAACAATCGAATTCATCTGAAGAGTACAGGCTATCTTGCTCAAGAATGTACTTACAATAGAAAGTGTAAAAAATCATAACCTTATAAATACTTTGAAAGGTTTTCTCTACAAGTTGAGAAAATATTTTCACTGTAAGACAAGTTTGAAAAATCTACATTACTGTCTTTGCTTGTAAGTTCACTGAGGATAAGGAAAAAGAAGACTTTTTAATTACTGAAAACAATCAATCTCAATTTTAAATGCATATTTTCCTACAAAAACTTCAGAAATTCACTTGCATAAAGAATACTTCTGGAATTCTGAGAAGACTATACTGTATTATGTTTAAAGAGCTGAATCCCTACATTAAGGCATAGCTTAAATTTTTCAACAATGCTACATCACACACCTTTGCAATAAGATCAACACGTTAAAAAGAAATGAAAAATGTTTACCCTCTTGTCTTGTTCATAAGAGGAAGCTTCTGTACTGGGTAGCAGATGGGTAATAGTTGCTATCAGAATCTGGGAAAAATATAGCATAGTTTCTTTAAAATACAATTTAAATATGTAAGTTTAAAATAAATTTTTAAGCAGGTAAACGTGACACAATACTAGATTCATGGTTAAATTCTATTAAAGTTATTTTGATACAAATTACAGTATTCCTTGCCACTTTTTTTTTAAATAAACCCCTTTTAATTGAATTTCACAGAAGACATTGAAGGAATATGGTCTGCTTGACTGAAGTAGGTGCATTAGTGACAATAAAATTACAGAGCTACTCCAAATACTCAGGCAGGAAGAGAATTTGATTCAACACACTTGCAGGGTGCAGGTAGGAGCGTGACATGGGTTTGTGCATGCGGCTATTTTAGGTCCATTATTTCTTAGAACTACTAGAATTTGTAAACACCCTGCCTCTACTTAATCAACAATACGACTGCAGAAGAGCAGAGAAATGCCTGCTATACCTCTTCAGAGGCTTCCACACAATTCCCTTTCCAGTTTCCTGGGAGACCTCTATCTTCTCTCTGTGGTTCAGAGTCACAGAGGCCATAATCTATTTCCTTGTTATTTAAAATGTATTCAAAATAATTATTTTTGCTTTATACTGAAACACTTTAATGCAAAGTGTTTTGCATACAGATATGCAAAAATACAATTGCAGAGCCGTATTTTAAGTAATCACTTTCTCACTAAACTTAAACTTATTTGAAGATATTTAATTTTTAAAAATATCAGACTTTATTGGCAACATATTTATTCATGTAAATAGTGACATAGTTGTATCTGAGAAAAAAATAAGCATGATATAGCCATTTTACATGTTAATACTGAAGTCAGCAAATAAGTGTGATGTGAATCCCTACTGTTAATGTTCAGTAAGATTATGTTTATACAAATTCAATGTTTTGTGAAACATACTTGTCAATATTCTGGTATTTTAATTTCATGGAAACACATTTTACTGCTGCATTTAAAAGAACTAAAATTTTCAAATTTTTAAAAGTTACTTACCTGAATAATTCTTAAAGGTGAATCAGCTTGATACACTTGAAGTCTATGTACATAATGTATCAGCATGTTCAGCATACTGCAGGCAACTTGGGCTACTGTTTTATTTGGAAACTAGAAAAAAAAAAAACACAGCACAATAACAATGACTACGTGATTTCACATAAGAGTACATTAGGTGGTAAAGTGGTCAAGAATTTCACTGATGGTTTTATACAAATAGCTCCTTATGTACCTATTTATCGGAGAAACAGAATTAAATTTTACAAAGTTTAAAAGGAATTATTTTAGTCATAACCAAATGTTAGCAACTAACATCAAAGGTTTGGGACAGACAACCAGGGAGTTGCACGTAGTGAGGGAAAGGGGAGCGGAGTCTCCTAACTAGCTGCAGACTGGTTAGTAGGGTATCATGGAGCCAGAAAGAACAAATTCTTTTGTTACCTTAATGAACATTAATATTAATGCATCACTGCAAAAAAAGCAAGGATCCAATTCTGAAATCAGAGGTGTTTGTTGAGAACCAAGGCAGGTGAACAGCTGCGTATCCAAAATGCAAGACATATTACTTATAGTGAGACCAACAGTTCTGTTTGTTAGTGACTGCTGTGTACAGCACTTGTCTGAATGGAAATGAATGCACCTCGGCTTCTGTGCTTAATTCCTCTTTTTTCTGTCACCTTTTAAAGGCAGGAGAACATTGCTGCACTGGAGCCTGCCTTCAATAGTTACTAAAATGTTTAAGTTACTGTGTTGGTCAAGGCAAAAATGAATCCATTTGTACAGCTAGTCCCCAGCTTAGGAGTGCAGGGCAGCATCTATCCCAAAGTGAGAAAACAAAGAAATGAAGAGATAGGGATACATTTCCCTGAATTGTTAATGTATAGGATGCATAATTGAGGCTTCTTCCTTCATTGCACTTGCCATAAAACATTAAGCAACAAGCATAAAGTGAATTTTCCAAGTGAATTTTCTCCATCTAGGACATGAAAATCCTACGAAGCGAAGCTAAAGACAAATCTGAGGAAAATGGTTATTAGCACAACAAAACTACAGACTTCAGAAGACAGCACAAACCACAAAAAAGAAAAAAATAACATGCAACAGCCCCATGGGAAGAATTTCAAATACATTCTTATTCAAGAAAATACTGTGTCTTTACTGAAAACAAGTATTCCAAACCATAATACTAATGAATCCCAAATCACTCAGAAAACAATTAGATAATTCACACTTTAATAATGAAAAATCCTATTCTATTTCTCCAATGAAGATGAGCGACATCAAAATTCCTGCATTATTAAAAGAATAAAAAAGTAGTTTAAATGTTTTAACCTCACTTTACTTAGCAGTGAAGCTGTCACAGGGGTCAGCTTTTAATTAAAACATGGCAGGCATCTTGCATCTGCAAGTCTTCCCAGAGCTTATGACAAGAATACCACTATTTTTTATCCCCTGTAAGACAGCCTCTCTCCATGCTGTGAAAGTACACTGTAAGAGCACAGTAAGCAGGGCACAGATTCTAATGTTCAAGCTCGACTGACAACCAAAAAAATTAAATAAAATTGAAAGCATAACAATTTGATTATAGAATTTGAGATCAAATCCAGATTGCTGGAAACATCCTTACAAGTTTGCAGAAAAAACCCAAAGTCACTGGAGAGGACAAAAGGGGTGGACACACTAGAGCAGCTTAAAAAGGAATATCCAGATTACTGAATTTAAGAAAAAAATTACCTGAGAAAAATGCCTGGAGACTTTTCAGAGTCTTTGAATAATCAGAGTCTTTGAATACTAATAATATAAACAGGGAGCACTTTCTTCTTTTTTTTTTTTTTTTTTTTTTTAAAGAGGATCATGAGACTTTAAAATGGTTTATGCAAATTATTTAACCTCTATCTGTTCTCTGGTTGAAGAGAATTTTTTAATTTATTTTTTTTTAATTTAAGAAAGGGTACAAAAGTCAGTGAAGACATATATTTAACAGAGAGGCTGAAGGGTATAAAGTAATGAATACGAATAAAGTTCAAAGCTTGTGCACTCAAATTTTCAAGTCTTATTCATGGGAAGGGCACTGGGTAGGAAGTTTTGATCAAGAATACAGAGATTGGCCCAAACAGATCAAACCCTTCACCTACTTCAGAAATCTGTCCCAGCATGGTCAATATAACATATTTCAAAAGAACACAGGGACACTTTAGAACAGATAGTCCTAGAGCTGTCTGTCCTGGAAGGATGTTTTCCTAAACCCAAGCAGCAACACTGGGTTTATGCTGGATGGCAAAACAATTCACGGCTTTCAAGTCAGCTGCTTTGTTCTGACTTCTTTTCCAAAAGCCTTCGGAGGTGGCATGAAGGCAGCTGTGTGATGCTACAAACATTTCACTCACTGTTCTCTGTCTCTGGAAAATGCTGTATGTTATAAAGCATAAGAATTCACTACTTTTATATGATTTTATATTTAGTAGTGTAACTGTGGACATAATTTTTTAAAAGTTACTCAATGGAAAAAAACCCCCACTTTCAATGAACTGGCACTCTGCCTGGTACCTAACTCGCAGGGCTTTTCTCGGAAGGGTAGTCTTACCACACTCTTCATCTTTGCAAGGGTCCATTGCTTCTGGATGTTACATTAGTAATTTAACCATGTCTGTACTGGCAAATAACCTACGTTTAGCACTCATTCAACTAAACCTGTACAAGACAGTTTTGTGACACACCTGCAGCATTTTGGAGAAGAGCATAACATAATCGGAAGATGCAGGGGTCTGGATGGCTGGTTAGGATGGATCCTTTGTGCTCAGACTTCAGCAGCGGTTAACACAGATACAGCAGTATCGCCACACTGCTGGGAGAAGCGCTAGCTATATTCACAGTGAGCTGCTGGACTGCAGTTCTGAATATGCTTCTGTATTTCCGAAACAGGCATCTAATTGTTGCTAACATTTCTGCTCAATGTTATTTGCTCAATTGTACTTAGTAAGTTGGATGAGGACTATAGCTCCCTATCCATTAATTTCTCCTGAAAATAAGAAAATAATCCATTCTGGGAGTTCAAACCTCCAACTACTTGGAAGCCAGGAGATTGCTTAGGTAACAAATTAGACCTGATTTGTTTCTCCCATGATATATTTATGAACTTTTCATTTCGTGATTAAATTCGATTGTGACTGTATAGCACTGCTCAGAACATGAGAAAAGCCAACATGCTCTGGATACTTTTGCCAAAGCAAAGCAGAAATATAAAGATCTTTGTCTTCTCATTCAAGAAGTAATTTATGTTTAATATAAATGAGATACAAATAATTGGTTTAATAAATACGTCAAAGAAAAATAAGAGAAATCACAGTGAATGTCTGGATTAAAAATAGCTCAAACATTGATAAATTGCAGAAGTAAGATAAAAACAACATCATTTGCCTAATATCAAACGTGCACAGGAACTTGATAAAATGTACTAGTTAAGGGATATTAAAAAGCAAGGGGAAAACCCTGGAAGAGAGTATTAGTGAAGCTGCAAAGGATGAATGTGATTTTGCAAAACAGGAAATTGCAATTTAAAGTCTAATACTAAAAGCCCTGCAGCTACCCATTTTAGACATAGACTCAAATCCTGCTTCACAGGATGTGATCAGCTGATTTGCTAAGATACTTTTCAGATTCCCATTGCTGAAAAGAATAGTTAGTCCCCAAAATCTGACACAAGCCATGTATAACAGGTGTACACCCCAATTTTTATCAATGTATATATACAGAAAGATTAGACTATTCATTGAATTTTGATGTAAACAAAAAGCAGGTAGAAAGGTTCTGAAAATAAATTGGGAAATATTTAAGAAGTTGAAGATATTGTTCACGAACATGTGAGTTTGCAAAATGCTAGAAAATAAGATGTTTTCTGTAATATTTGTTATATTTAACAATATAATATTTGTATTTATATAAAAATATATATTTAATATT